CCGAGATTGTTGATAGCATCTTCTGAGAGGAAGTGTTCTCAACCCGAGTGAGGCGTACGCGATGCGCAGATAGGGGCAATAGGCTGACGACGAGGGTTGCAAAGAGATCTTTGAAATCCTGTGTGGTGTGTGAGCTTTTTGACAAGAGAGGCCTGGGTGGAAGAGGGCAGGGAAGAGGGGGGCATGGGGATGGCGGGGTTGAGTGCGGCGGAATGCTCAACACGAGGCGAGATCGATTGCCCTTCGAGACATGCGTTCCCGCGCACAATGGTACAACACATCAATTGAACAAGGGCAACAGATGGCGATGCCTACCTTTGTAAATGGCTTGTCGTCGTCCGTCATGCGGAGCAACCGCGAAGAAGTTTGGTGCATCTTGTTCTCGACGGCTGGGATGCGGATTGGAAGAGGGCGGTTGGGGTCAGTGTCGGAATAGGGAGAGGAGGGCACTTCGTTGGCCAGCGACACCTGACTCGGGTGTTTGCCCTCGGCGGCGAAAGTGCCTGTCGAAGAAGAGGCGGGGGAATGGTTGTTGGACCTTCTGTATCGCGCGTGTGCGTTCTTGTCCAAGTCGGTGGGGCTGAAAGCGGAATCGGCACTGGAGGCGACTCTGCCCAAAGCGGAATTGGAGGAACGCTGACGTATGGAGTAGTCGGGTTGTGACTGTGACTGTGACTGCAGGGTGGACAGCGCAGACTGCGTCTTGTCGATTGCAGCAGCTGCAAGGCCGAGCAAGCCTCCGGATCGCTGGATCTTGCTCGTGGAAGGAGAGCTGAAGTGGCCGATCTGGCGGTAGCCCGTCGAGGTGGAGGCGGCTTGGCCCTCGTGGGAGAAAGGGTCAACGGCGGGTGATGAGGGAGCCGAAGGCGAGGCGAGTGAAGAGCGGCGACTGGCAACTCTGGTGGAAGATCGTGAGGTCGATGTCGACTGCGGTAGTTGATCTCGGATTGAGGAGCGGTTGGAATAGGAGATGGCGGCCATCTAACGGAGAGCACGAGAATGTAGAATAAGAGTATGTGGAAGGGGGCGGCAGCGAGAACAGAGGAAAGAGAGGGGGGGTTCTTCGAGATAAAAAAGAGAACGTGACCCTTCAGAGAACGGGTGGAATAAGACTGAGGGGGAAAAGGCAGCGACGGTGCTAATGTACCATGTGGACTCCCAGGGCTCTAGCAGCAGCAAGCAGCACCTTTTTCCCAGGTTACCCTACCTTGCCTTACCTTGTTGTACCGTGCCTCCACAGGACTGGACCTGGACCTAGACCAGGACCTGGACTGTCGGATTTCGGTACTAGAGTATTCCCTGACCTGGTAGACCTGGTAGACCTGGTTAAACCTGGTGAGAAGCGATGCGAGGCCGCTGTGGGTGCACTTGCGCCCACTTGCCTATGCACCCACCTGCGCACCTGAGGTCCACCACGGCCCCGAGCGGACGGGTGGTTCCTGGGTCCTGAGCGGGTCTGATCCCTGTAAGTCGCGGGTACATGGTCGAAGTACATGCGACGGAGGGTTTTCCTATGCGAAGGTTGAGGGTGGGTCCAGGGGGGGGGGGGCAGCTTACATGTACACTAGCCGGTAGTCCAGGAGTCATTAGAACCCCCCCTCCTCTCCCTTTCCATCCCCCTTCATCTCGTCCGTCTATTATTCCCATCTGGTATCTGCTCACCCAAGATCTATGGAGGAGTGACATTGGTCGTCCGATGGGTACGAAACTGTGTAGAAAAATCATTTACTGCTGACAGACCCCTGCCCAAGCCCCCCCCCCTTTGATCCACCAGCACTCCCCCATCCGCACCTAGCCTTCCTCCCAATGTCGAACTTGGGGCAGGGGGTCCCCCGTGCAACACGTGTCGAAGCATGGAAGCCGGCATTCAAACAAAGCAGACCAGGACTGTGCCATGAGATACGGGAGTTGAGCGATAAAGACTCAAGGGAAGAAAGGCCCCTAATTTTCCCCGCTGACCACACCGCCGGTTATCTGATGGGCCACATTCCTTGAGGTCTTTTCAATTGCATGTAGAACTCAACCATCGCGTTCTCGTCCCTGTCTCGTGTGGATTCTGCAAGTCCAATTTTACATGTACACGGCGACGCTGATGCAAACGAGGGACAGCCAGTCCCCTTTCTTGCCAGGCTAGGGTGTTCGTTCCTTGGCTGGCCTGGGTAAAGCCGCCCCAGTCAATCAGCAGCTAGAGCACAGGTAGCCGCAAATCTCAACAGGTAGCCTGTTTCCTGACAGCCCAAAACGTGGTCAAAGAACAGACGCCACGCTCTCAGACAGCAGAACTAACCATGAGATTCGCTCATGCCCGGCTGGTGAGGAGGGCTGGATCCGACAATCATCGGTAGACGGCCGCATGGCTTAGTGATCTTCTTTGTCCGCCCGCGATGGCCGAGGTCGCTCATCTGCGTGTAGACCCCCTCTTTTGACTTGTCAGCAGATGTGGTCCACTTTTCTCATCCACTTTCGCTCCCTCGCGTCTTCGTTTCTACGACAGCGGCTACGTCACCCCCGGGAAGGCTCACAGAGACCGAGAGACCGAAAGGGGCGAGCCATCTCTCTCTGGACGTGCTTGTGTGTGCCAGATATGCATGTCGGGAGACGTGAAGAAATGTGATCTTCTCGCACAACAACGATGTGGAGGCGTGCCGCTACTCCCGCAAGCCAACCAAACTGAGACGACTACCAAAATTTCGGGACAGTCTTCTCAGTGGGCGCTTCATTGGACCTTCAGAAAAGCATGCGAGCTTGCCGTGCGGCGTTCTGTGTCCAACCACCGAAGAGCATTTCACTCCCAGCATCTGCAGCACACAGACATGTTGTCTTCGACTTTGCGGGCACGCCCATCGATCGCCCTCCCCCCCTTTCCCCATCCTTATGGCGGCTGTCCTCCAGGTGCCAAGTCTAGAACAATGGGGCTGTAGTGCAAGTAGAGGCCGGTAAATGCGCTGTCCGGTGTGACAGCGGACATTTTGCCCGATTCCCCCTTCTGCCCTACGACTGGCTGCGAGATCGTCCCCTGCAGGTAGGTTTGGGATTCGCAAGACCATAGGTTCGGACAGTTGTCAATGACATCGAGCGCGCCGGCACATCGAGGTGTTAGCCACTGGCGGCTGACGTAGTCGCTTGGCAGGCCATAGCTCATGGATTACTAGAAACTTTGGCCGCGTCGGCAAGGCCTTTGATGTCGGCAAGACAAGGTTCAAAAGGCAATCTGGAAGCCGGCATTGGCGCTCATACTGGCCATTTCAATATTAAATGGCATCTCGCTTCGACTGTTGGTCCAAGTGGTCTTCGAGACATTGTCGATGATTAGCACCGACCTAGCCAAGGCACGCACCTGCTGGACATACTTCACCACGTGCCCTTGGGTTTCAACGGGTTGACTTGTTCTGGTAGCATTACATACCTCATCAGCTTACGTACCTTGCCTAGTCTGTGTACGATGGCTGGAGGAGAGATCTTCGGACGGCTTTTGATCAAGTATCTGTATGGGCGCCCTAGGTAGCCCGACGCTTTCAGGCTGCGTATTGCTGACGCGCTGACCCTGGCACATCAGTCATTGGGTGTTCTTCCATCATTCCGGATGGCAGGCAGCTAGCTGCTGAGGGGGAGGGGTTGATAGGCGGTGATGAGACGTAAAAGTATCACTTATCACACAGGCTGACCAAGGAGGGTGCCTTTTGTGACAGCCCATCTGGCCGCCATGATGTGCTGAAATGCCATGTGGCCAATGTGGGCTACAAAAAGGAATTTGTTCTGCACCCCCTCTTTCGCGTCTGTTCCTTGGGCGGGGACCTCTTTGTACTACACATCATCAATGAACACGAAGCTTTCCCTACAACTTGTTTCAGCCTGATGACATGATTGTTGACTAGGGAGCTCTTTATCATCTCTTTAGAGATGCTCACACTTGTTGGGTCGACACCGCCTCTGCGAGCGTGGTACATCCATACACCTAATTGATATACCGACCGGGGGGGAAGGTACATGTACCTCAAATCAGACTGATGGGTGAGTGCAAGCGACGGACACGCTCTTTTGCCTGGCCCCTGCCTGCCTCCCAGCCTGCCTCCTGCCTGCCTGCCCGCAACCCACCAGGCTGGCAATGGCGCGTGGGCATCAGGCACAGAAGAGCTGCGGACTGTAGGCAACATGAGGGGGAAAGGGCAATATGACAATGATCTCCCATTCGCCGCGATACCCCTGTCATCACGCTGTAGGTGGAGAGCGGAAAGAATTGCGTCGTCTCACCACCAGCAAAGAGACAGATCGGCGCGTGGCTTCAGGGATGCTACCCACCCTCACTGCCCCCAGGTGCACCCCTCCTTGTACATGTAGCACCTAGCCCCCCTCCTCCCCCCTTCCAACACCCTCCGGGCTCCGTTCACTTCCCTGCAAGCCACGCTGTGCGACCGCCTTTTCGTGCTTCTTGTGAGGTGGGGTGAAGGGGGGAGGAGGAGAAGAAGGTGTTCCTCGTCACGTTGCTGCCACGCGCAGTCACTCCCGACAGACCCTTGCCAGAACATCGACCCTGGCCCCTGGCCCATGGCCCCTGCCTTCATTTTTTTCTCGCTGCAAGCAGACCAGGGGGCGGAACTCTCTCAGTGGTAGGTACCTACAGTACTCAAGTACTGTACTTTGCCTTCCCCTCTTCCATCTCCCAGCGTCCAGCGTCTAGCGTGTACCAGTTCAGTCCCTCTCAGCATCCCTCACTGTCCCCGTTTGACCGCAGGCTGGCCCACTCCACTCCACCCCTCTTGCCAGCCCATTGCTGCGATCTTGTCCACAGACGGATAGAAGACTACAATCTTGACATTTGCTTTCTCCGGTTCCATTGGTTTGCATGCCCAACTCCATCATCGCGCTTGTCATGCTGCAAAGGACGTTGTCTTCACCACGCCAACCGAACGAATGCCTTGCTTCCACAGCGCTTGCATGATGGATCTCTCCACCAGGGTGAAGGGTGAGCTTGCAGGCTACATGGCTAGTTTGGGAACACGAGCCATGCTCCTCCGTCGCCCCCGTCGACTCGACCAGTACTGACAAGTTTAACACCGAATCATTGCCACTTCTCGCCCGACTTTTCCGTGCACGGAGTTGTATCCACTTGGAAGCCAAACTCAGAGACCATCAAGTCCCAAGAAAGCAGGTAGATGGTCCCCTTCTTGGCTAGGTCACCCCTTACGCAACGAATCCTCTGACAGTAAGCGCCGACGCCGTAATAAGCACTGTTGGTTCATTCGACCACGAGATCGCTGGGGGGCCATACTCGTGCCGCCGGCCTCTACGCGCATGATGACGATCCGATAACGCTGAAACCGAACCGCTCAGTAGCAAGGCCTGGGGATCAGGCAAATCGTTCGATGGGCATGGGGACAGGACGCGCAAGACGCGCAGGCCACGACGCCCCCCCCACCGAGTCAACTGAGGACTTGGAAAAGGAATGACGGAGATGAGAAACCCAGGGCCTACCTGAGAGATTCAGTGTAGCATTCTAACCTTCCGAGTCTGCAGAAGCACGGTCGTCGGCGTCGCCGCGTGAATCTTGTTCCCGTACGGGCGCGGGCAAGACAGTCAACGAAAGTAAAACAACTATAGACGCAGTGCGTCATGCTAGGGGCGGACAGCTAAACAAATCACAACGGCGGCTAGGGAGCTTCGCTTCCCCATCCGTACGCCACTGACACGTTATCTGACAGAGCAACGCTTGACGACGACTTCGCTGTGAGCCGCGGTTGCTAAGAGGTTAGAGATGGAGATCGATCGCCGACTGAAACCCCAATGAGCGCCCGCAACAGGCTGCGGGAACAAGCACCACCCTAATACGCAATTCCCGCGTTGCCGTGCCTCGCCCATTGTTGTTGACCCTTTGACAGGTCGATTTCGAACTGCTCGCTAGAGGTGGGTGGGAAGGGGGCTTGGGGGGGTCAAATCGGTCGCGACGCCGACCTTTGGACCAGACAATATGAGGCTTGCCTGGGCTTGGGACCAAAAAGGGAACCCTTGATCTCCACAATACATCACACCAGAATACTGATCGGAGGACGGAGCCTTCAGCGTTCTATGCCACGCCGAGCCCGCTGTGGCATCGTGACACAGGTACGCACACTAAAATTCCATGATTTCCGCAAACCAGCCGCTCAGCCTTTCCGGTGTGGCCCTGGGCCCTGGCACAGGGGTCCCGACAGTGCCCCGTTTCATTGATCAAATCTCGCTCTTCTCCGACCACCTCAGTGTCCCCAGATCGGCCCCCTTCTAGAAGGCTCGTAGAACATGTCGGAAGACTGAAGAACACGAGCCTAAACACCCAGGGGCTTTCAGGTTTGATTGATGTGTGGTTTCAAGCGAGATGAGCTCCAGAGTCATGGGGGCGGAGCATGCTTGGGTGATCATCATTTGTCGATCAAACCACCAAGAGATGGACAAAGGGTCTTGCCACCTGTGCAATTCCAGGCTAGGCCCCGCAAAGCACTTGAGAATGA